CTCTTCTTCCTCCTATTCTCCCTCCTTCTCCTCCTCCTCCTCCTCCTTCTCCTCCTCCTCCTTCTCCTCCTCCTCCTCTCCCTCCTCTTCCTCTTCCTCCTCCTCATCCTCCTCCTCCTTTGTCTTTGGGGAGGAGGGGCAGAGCTGGGAGGTCTGGGAAATAGGTATGATCAAAGTACACTATGTGAAATTCTCAAATAATCAATAAAAATATTATGTTGGAGAAAAAAGGGTCAACAATGACCCTATAGTTACAGATTCTAGAAAAATGACCAAGAGAAATACTCAAGAGTTGCAGACATACTCTCTGATGCTATTATAGTAAACATAAAAACGTGGGCTGCCCCTGCTGACTATGAAGCATATGAATCAAGGCTAGCCACTTAGCCTCCCTATCCCTGTTTCCTCACTGGGCTAGGAAAAGCATCTCCTATGACTACTGTAAGGTAGGAAAACATACGGAGAGATTTAGCAGGTAAGTGCTCACTGATAAGTGGAGCCCAACTGTAATCCCAGAACTCGGGAGGCAGAGACAGGCAGATCCCTCTGAGTTTGAATATTCATAGCAAGTTCAAGACTGTCCAGGATTATGCAGTCTTTAATGAACAAAACAAGGGCTGGAGAGATGGCGCAGAGGTTAAGAGCACTCATTGACTGCTCTTCCAGAGGTCCTGAGTTCAATTCCCAGCAACCACATGGTGGCTCACAACCATCTGTAATGGGATCAGACACCCTCTTCTGGTGTGTCTCAAGACAACTACAATGTAGACATATACATAAAATAAATCTTTAAAAAAAAAACAAACAATAACAGAGAAACTGGGTGTAGTGGTGCACACCTTTAATCCTAGCACTTAGGAGGCAGACTGGCAGAATTTGAGGACATGCTAGTCTAAATAGTGAGTTCCAGAACATTCAGTGTTAATATATAGTGAGATCCTATCTCAAAAGAAAAGAAAAAAACAAAAGGTGCTCAGTAAATATTCACAAAGCTAGAAATGGTTTGCTACATGGTAGCTACATTAAGTAAAAAAATATATATAGTACATATATATATATGTATATATATATGTATATATATATATTATACAATTACATACACAAACTCTGTTTAAAAGGTATATGTATCTTTAGATGGACAGTCCTTCAGGCTCCCTGTCACCTGCTTTACCTGTGTGCCATGCTTTCTCTTGTTACAGTGATGCCATCTTAGTTACAAGTCATGACTACAGGCCAGTCTTGATGGCGATCAAGAGGACATTGCCATCATCACACCCTCCAGCCGTGTGTGTGTGTGTGTGTGTGTGTGTGTGTGTGTGTGTAATATTTTGAGACAGTGATTCATCATGCAGTCAGGCCTGGCCTTGAATTGAGTCCTTGATCCTCATGCCTCAGCCCTGTGAGTATTAGGACTCCAGGTGACTATAGACGGGCAGGCATATGGCAGAGCAACCAGTTCTTTCCTTTTCTTGAATCCAAGTGAAGCCCCAGAACTTGTCTCGGCCAGGGGAGACTTTAGAAGACACATTATCAGCACAGGTTGAATTGCTTTGTAAATTCATTGGTAAAATTGCTTTCCCTTTTCTAAACATATTCTAAAAATATTATATATATGTGTGTGTGTGTATATATATATACATATATACATATATACATATATACATATATATGAGTATTTGCAAACAAGTATGTCCGTGTACTACACATGCTTCTGTTGCCTCTGAATGAACTAGAAGAGGGGATCAGGCCTCCTGGAACTAGAGTTACAGAAAGTTGGGTGCTGGGACTCGAACCTGGGTCCTCTAAAGAGTAGCTAGTGTTATAAGCTATGGATCCCTCTCTCCAGAACTAAGCAACCTCTTTCTTGCACTTCTGCCATCATCATAAGAATGCTAAGCCCAGCCTACCCTGCATTCAGGAAGAAAATAGAAGACTCCAGGAACCTGGTCTCAACTTAGACACTCATCTAAAGCAAATGCCCTGGCCAACCTATGCCATAGGCATAAGCTAGCTGACCACAAACACACAACTTCAGCCCACAAACACACAACTTCAGCCAGAGCCAACCTACATCCGTCGGCCCTAAGCCAACACACTTTGCAGGGGTGATAATAATATGTGACTGTTGCTCTCCAGCCTCCGCGCTCCGACAGGAGCTGATAGCAAACAGTGAAGAACTGATACAAACACACGGCATAATACCTTTTCTATTTTCCTTACTAAAGCTCAGAAGGTTGACTTTGGCAGTAAGAAATTAAGATCCTGGTTTATTAATAATTGTGTGCTCTCATCTCTGCTTCTGCCCTTAGGGAGACAGTTTTCAATGTGACAGTTCCTCTCTCTTCTGGGAAATGAAACAACTTTTCTAGACAATATTTGGTGAAACAGCTCTCTTTTATTAGGGGGTAAGAAGGGTGCTATAAAGCTTGGGGAGTAGGAGCGGGAAGGGGTTTTCAGGGTGAGTCTACATTACTGGCTGGGGCTGAGGTGCTGGAATGCTGCATTTGCATGAAGAGGGATTCCTGGTGCTTAAACCTATAATTTAGCCATCAGGGGAACATGACTATCTCAACGGGAATTGGAGGGCTAAGCACCCTGGGGTACACAGGCCCACATCTCCCCTTTTTGTTTTATTTGAAGAGATTGGCCTGCCTCTGCCTCCTAAATGTTGAGATTAAAGGCATGCACCATCATGTCTGGCAGGAAGAGGGTTCATTAAGCCAAAAAGAAATCCTGTGGAAATCCAGATCACCAACAATGGTGAATATTTGTGTGAATGAAGAAGACGTGGATCAGTTGCCATTCTTGCTTTGCCTTTCAAAATAATTCTCATGCCTGTAGTGGTGCTAGTGCTGGTGTTGGTGCTGGTGCAGTTAAAGGGAAATGCACAGGTTGAAAATGCATGTCCGTAGACAGAAGAGTAGCAACCACCTTTTGCAAGTGCTATGCTTAGTAACTGACATAATCTCTAGTATGTAAGAGGTACATAATAAATACAGACTACAGGAATTGCTCAACTAAAGACAAACTGAACAAAGATTAAAATACCTAAATCAGTGGCCTCTCAGATGCAGAAATATGAATCACTTTCTTTTTAATACACGTTTCTCTTTTAAGATTTGCTCACAGATATTATACATTTAAATAAAGCATTCTCTTAACTGAAACAGCCCCTCTCTGGGAGAAAAATACAAGAATGATGACCAAGTGGAATCACACTAAAATTATACGGGGTAGGGTACAAAGAGGTAGGCGGGATCAGATGCAGCTCTTTTTCAGTTTAACCGTTTCTGGAGAAAGGTGGGAATCTCTTTAAGAAACAGAAGAAAGTGGCTGCACCGTTCTCAGTTCTGAAGACAAAGAGCTCTCAGGGTGAGAGCGCTAAAGCTCTGTTCAGTACATCCGCCCTGGTGGAGAGAACAAAGTCCTATCAAGATTTGTCTCTGTCCCCGCCCCAAGAAGTCACAGTCCAAATGAGTTCTACTGTGAAGGCATTTAAAATTTTGACAAGGAGGAGCTGTTTTTGTTTGTTGGTTGGTGGAGGTGGTTAGAGGATTTCTGAGGGGAGGGGGATTCTTTTCTTCAAGCAAGCTGCCAAGAAAGCATATTCTTCCTCCACACAAGGATCTGGTCAGAGGGAAGATACAGCTTGTCTCCAAGGAAACACATCACTAAAAGATTCCAGCACTCTCAGCATGAACTGCCTACAGTCGCTTCTCCTTTGCTTAATTCTGAGCCTGGTAACCTTCCCTCAAGAAAAAAAAAAAAAAGCAGCCACCCCACCCCCACTTAAAAAGAAGGGAAAGAGACCCTACTTGCTGAGTTTTAAATAACTATAACTCATTAATAGACAAAATCATTCTAAAGGCCATATTTACATCATAAGCGAGTAGGGCCATCTTTTTTTTTAAGATTTATTTATTTATTTATTTATTTATTTATTTATTTATTTAATGTATGTGAGTGCACTGTCACTCTCTTCAGACACACCAGAAGAGGGCATCAGATCCCATTACAGATGGTTGTGACCTGTCATATGGTTGCTGGGAATTGAACTCAGGACCTCTGGAAGAGCAGTCAGTGC